CACACGTTTTGACCCCGTGGGGGTAACGAAGTGCTGCCGAAATTTTCTGATTTTCTCTTACTTAGTCTTTTTCGGCACACTTCGACCCCATGGGGGTAACGAAATGTTGCCAAAATTTTTGAAAAATCAGATACTCCATTTCTCTCCACCTCCTCATCCACTTATTTACTTATTTATTTATTTATCTATTTATTTATTAATTTTTTATTTATTTTTTGATTTTTTTTATTTGTGGCAGTTTGAAACCGAGTGTGCTTATCTCGGTCTCGCCTTTCCCCTCGGCACATTCTTGACCCCATGGGGGGTAGGGAAATGTTGCCGAAAATTTCAGAAAAATAAATATTATTTTTCTTTTCACATTTTGTTTACTTCTTCCCTTAATTCTTTTTATTATTTATTTTCTTTTGTTTTTCTCTTGAAATCTCACTACTTATTTGTTTTTTTTCCGCCTTCCCCTCCGATGCTTGCTGTTTTATTTTCTTGATTAGGTCACCGGTACCCTACCCTAACCACTCAAACTCCGGTTAGGGTTTTCTTAGGTTTTTTTTAGGGTTTAGGATTCTTCAAACCTCCCCCCCACTTCCCCTTCCTATTCGGGCACCGTGGACCCGAACCACCACTCCCCCTTTGACGGCGCCCGCGCCAGCCTTGCTGGCGCCGTCCGCCTCTTTCAACCGCGGACCCCCCCCTACGCCCTCCGCTCACGCGGACCTCCTCTGGCCCCCTCCCGTTCGGCCCGTCACCTCCCCATGGTCGACGGTGTGTCACACGCCGCTGACGAGGCGACGACCACGGCACCGGGCTCCACAACCGTGCCGGCGGCTTAGGGCCAGCAGCCCCAGGGGGATTTGCACACCCTCGTCACCTCCCTCCTCACGCCCATCCAGGCACAACTCGCGATCCTTGTGCCCTTACAGGCGCAGGTGGCGACCCTTGGCGCCAGCGTGCAGCAACTCCAAGACGTTGTTTGTCCTTCATCTCCTGACTCTCTTTCTTCTTTTGGCTCCCAGTCTGGGTCTCTAGCCCTCCGACGGGGTGGCCACGGTGGAGCTTCCTCCTCCGCTGCCCCGGACCCGACCATCTTGGTGACCGTCCACCCCCCTAGCTCGACGGTTGCCACGAGTCAGGCCCTCCCTCAGTCTACGGGCGCACCCGCCTAGATTCTGGTCACTACGGCCACGGTACCACAACCCGCTACCATGGTCTCAGCTTTTCCGGGTGCCCCGCTTCTCCCTCACCTTCGCACGACCGCAGCGCCATCTGGCTCTTCCCCCTCTGGGATGCCCCGCGCTGCTTGTGCGTCCACCTCCCCCACTCATCCTCCTGCCACTCCTCGCACGATCTACGTCCAACTTCTCGAGGACGAGCTTGCCCAGACCCGGGCCAACCTCACCCTCTTACGCCTTCCGCCACCCCCACCCTCACAGGTGGCCGCGCCTTCGGGCACACCCCCTCCTTCCTCTACCCTTCCTTAGATGCAGACTCGCTTCCCTCGCCCTGCACCCTATCCAGCCCCATCCTACCTTCTTCATATTCCCGCGGTTGCCGCGACCTCTTCTACCGCAGCTCCCTCGCAGCCTGCCGCTGTTGCCCCCGCCACTACCCCTTGCGGCCGGGGCGCAAAGTCAGCTGCGCCCCTTTTTCCAGGACCTGCACCGACTTACTCAGTTGTGGCACAGGCCTCTGCTCCTCGATCCCCTCGCCGCCAAAATGGTGGCGCACCACTCGTCCGCTTGGCGAACATTCCCTTGTACGACGGTACAGGGATACGCGTGTCTCGATGTCTACAGTCCGCCACCCACACACTCCACCTCATGGGTGCCCCACCCGACACGTGGGTGGGTCACCTCTCCACGCGCCTGCGTGCCGGTCCTTTTGATGCCTGGGAGGATTTCTACGCTTACTCCCTTCATGTGGGTCGGACTCCGACCTTTATGGATTTGCAGGCGTTCCTCGAGGATCGCTTCGGAGCCCGACATGACGTGACTGACGCCTTCGAGCGTGTCGTCACTACACGCTGGTCCGACTCTGGTGGCGCTGTCGGTCTGGATCGCCACATCTAGGTCTTTCTGGACGCCCGCCTCATTTGTGACGTGGTGTTCCTCCCCGAGGCTGCCTTTATCGATCTTTTCTTGGCCAGCCTTCCGCTCGAGTACCGCTCTGAGTTATGACGGTACGAGTTCACATCGGCCCCGCAGGCTTACGAGGCCGCCAGGGACCATCAGCGGATGCGGGTCCGTCTTCACCCTGCCTCCTCCTCCCAGCCTCAGCTCATGGGTTACGCCTCCTTCTCCTCTCACGACACTTCCAAGTGTCGTTCCCCTTTCCACGGTCGCCCCCGCCGTTCCACGCAGCAGGGCCGCCACTTCTCGCGCCGCTTCAGCACGCTCGAGTATGGTGAGCAGGACGCTGGTGCCCCGCTGTCACCAAAGGGTGACCATAGCGACGACCTCGACCTCGGCGACGCCATCCACCACCACCTGGAGGACTCTACTCTTCCTATGGTCGAACGCCTCCAGCTCATCCTCTTTGCCCTCTCCCGGGTACGTAGCCGCCCCGGTCACTCTGGCGCGTCGCCTCCCGAGGTCCCTCAACAGGACCTCCCTCAGGGCTTTGTCCCTCCTCGCGGTGTCCTTTCCGCTGAGGAGCGCGCGGCTATTTTGGGTCAGCGTGGGTACTTGCACTGCCGCCAGGACGGTCATACCTCCTCTCGGTGCCCTTATACCATCGCCCTCGACCGCCACTACGTTGACCTTTCCCGCCAGCGTCGTGCTCAATCCCCCCCCGGCGCCTCACATCCCCGCGGCGCCTCCTAGCCACGGTGCAGTGTACACCTGCGCCCTCCTCAACAGTCGGCTTCCCGACATCCCCTTCGCGGTTTGCCCCTCTCGCTACTGGAGTTGAGGTCTCGCTGGACCCGATAGAGTGTACTCAGCCCTCTGTCGCAGCACCGTCTGCGCTTCCGCAGACCACCGTCTCCCCTTCTACCCCTCCACGACTACCGACATGTCGAGCCATTCGCTCAGTTCGTTGCAGCGAGCAGCTCGCTACTTGCAAGGACGTTGTGTCCTCTCTTCTGGACTTGAGCATGCTCCAGGCTCGTCACGAGGGACTCACCCTCCATGTTGCTGCACTCCGTAACCTTCTCACCATCCTCTCTGACCCTGATCGCACCCTCCTAATCATTCCCGTACGACTGGGGACCTCCACGACGGTGTACTCATCGCTGTGGGATTCCGGTTCTCAAGGCGACTTCATTCACCCACGTGTGGTGAAAGAAGCCCGCTTACCCACAACAGGGTTTCCGACTCCCATCTCTGTCACCCTAGGGGATGACAAGACCCAACGATTCTTCGATCAGACGGTCACGGACCTCCCTTTCTTCCTCACTCTCGAGGCTACTGATCGTCCTCCGGCTTCTCGTCGCCACCGCTCCTCTACACATTTCAATGTGATGGAGATGGGGTACGATTTCATTCTCGGCACTGCGTGGTCTCGTCGGTTCCACAACACCGAGGCCGATTGGGCATCCAACAGTCTCGTTCTCAAAACGAAGTGTGGAGGGACGTATCGCGTACCTTTCATAGGTACCACTGCGACACCATGCCCCGATCCTCCTCCCCCAAAGCCTTCCGTGCCCACACCATCTCCTTCTATCAATGTCACCTCACGTCGGCAGTTCGCCCACTTCATCCGACAGGACGACGTCACCTTTTTTATGGTGAACGTGACGGATCTCTTTTTTTGTCCCGATGCATAGCTCATCCCTCTGGAGCCAGATCCTCCTTCTATCTTCATGGCTCTCATCTCTACTTCCGTCCCTCCGCCGTCCGTCGTGTCCACCCCGCTGTCACTCGCTGATGCTGACGCTGAGAAACTCACACGCTATACGACCGACCAGGAGCCCGCAGTTCGTGACCTCATCCTAGTGTACCACGACATTTTCCCATCGCCGTTCTCGTACGCCGGTATCCTACCGATGCGCGACGTCGAGCACTCCATCCAGCTTGTGCCTGACTATCGTGTTCAACATTAGGCACCCTACTGACTCTCGATTTCCGAGGCCACTGAACTCAAACGTCAGCTTGAGGAGCTTCTGAGACTGGGTTTCATTAAACCCAGCAACTCCCCGTGGGGTGCACCCGTCCTCTTTGCTCGCAAAGTGGATGAAACTCTTCGTCTCTGCATCGACTATCGCGGTCTCAACTGCTACACGGTTAAGAACAACTACCTCATACCTCGTTCCGATTAGCTGTTCTACCGCCTAGCAGGCAACCGCTTCTTTATGAAGATTGGTCTTCGTAGCGGTTACCATCAGATCCGCGTCGCTGCAGCGGACCAGTCGAAGACAGCGTTCCGATCGCGCTTCGGCCACTATGAGTTTACGGTGATGCCGTTCGGCCTCACCAACGCATCCGCTACCTTCCAGAGGGTGATGAACGACATCTTCAGGGATATCCTAGAGCAGTACGTTCTCGTCTACCTCGACGATATCCTGGTCTACAGTCGTACCCTTGAGGAGCACCTCAGACACCTCCGTGACGTCCTTGACCGCTTGCGCAGACATGACTTCTATGCCAAGTTGAGCAAGTGCCACTTTGCACAGCACAAAGTGAATTTCTTAGGACACTACATGTATGACCAGAGTCTCCACATGGACGGCGCGAAGATCACTGCTATTGCGGAGTGGCCCGTCCCCACATCCGCCAAGCAGCTTCGCAGCTCCCTAGGCCTTACCAGCTACTATAGTAATTTCATCTAGGGATACGCTAGGTATTCCTACGTCCTTACCTCCACCCTCCTCCGGAAGAACCCACCTTGGGCTTGGACACCCTTCCACGAGGACGCCTTCCACGCCCTCATGAAGGCGGTGACATGCGTACCGGTTCTTCACCTACCCGATTTTGATCGCCATTTTATCCTTACCACCGATGCGCCAGACTTTGTTGTAGGAGTAGTGCTTTCTCAGATTTTCCCCTCCTCTCCTGATTCTCCTCATCCCCGTATCCCTCGCTTCCCACCCCCTACCCCTACCACTGCCTCCCACCTGACGCCTACTCGTCTAGCTACTTACGAGCCTTCTATTGACTATTCTCCTACCATCGCCGAGGACGGCACTGTCGAGTCTCGCTCAGGTGATTGTCCGATAGCCTTCTACTCCCGTCAGCTCCTGCCCGTCGAGCTAAACTACACCGCCGATGAACGTGAGGTTCTCGCAGTAGTTTATGTCGCTCGGCAGTGGTGTCACTACCTGCACGGGGCACCGTTCACGATGCGCACGGACAACTCTGTTGTCCAGGCTTTTTTGACAAAATCGAAGCTCACTCCTCGACAGGCTTGCTGGTGGCAAGACCTAACCAAGTTTAGTTTCACCACTGAGCACATAAAGGGTGAGACTAATCGGGTCGCAGATGCCCTATCTCGGCGCCTTGACCACGACCAGGAGCAGATTCAGCTCTCTTTCATCTCGGTCACCACTGTCCACCACTCGGTGATCGACGAGTTTCGCACTCAGTACCGCCACTGCCTCGACTATCGCGACATACACGCGACCCTTTGGAGTGGCAAGACCGTCCCGAACTACTCTCTCGGGGACAACGGTCTTGTGTACTGGCACGGTTCACAGGGCACCAAGGAGCCCCGTATTTGTGTTCCCTCCACTGGACAGCTACGTGTCCTCGCAAGCATAGTTCCACGACCAGGCAGTCGCCGGTCATATGGGGTTCCACAAGACGTTGGCTCGTGTGAGCCGCCTGTACGTCTGGCCGAAGCGCAAGGACTTTGTGAAGGACTACGTCACAGAGTGTCCCACCTGTCAGGAGGTGAACATTGCGAACCACCTTCCTCATGGTTTGCTCCAGCCTCTTCCTATCCCTTAGGGTCGTTGGCAGTCCATCTTGATGGACTTTATCGGTCCTCTTTGTCCTCCGACCCCTCGCGGTCATGATGCTATCCTGGTCGTCGTCGACCGCTTCACGAAGCATGCACACTTTGTTCCGTGCCGCTATGCCATCAGTGCACGTGAGGTCGCCGTCATTGTGTTTGACCGAGTCATGCGTGACCACGGCTTACCTCTGACCATCATATCTGACCGTGACCCACAATTTACTAGCCGATTCTGGCGACGGCTCCACGAGGTGTACGACACACAGCTCCATTTCTCCTCGTCTTACCATCCTCAGACTGATGGTCAGACCGAGATCATGATCAGGACTCTCGAAGATTTTCTTCGAAAGATTGTTCGTGACGACCAACATTGGGATCTCCATCTTGCCCACGCGGAGATAGCCTATAATCACGCCGTCTCGCCAGCCACGGGGATGTCGCCTTACTACTGAGACCTCAGCTATCACCCTCGTGTTCCCGCGGACTTCCTTCGACCGTCGCAGATGCACCCCGACACGAGTTATCCCGCGCTCGATGATTGGGTTGCACACATGACGTCGATCATGAAGACCGCACATGAACACATAGCCGCTTCCCATACTCGCATGGCAGCACATGCCAACCGATCGAGGATGAATCATTCATTCAAAGTCGGTGATGATGTGCTTATCGACGCCCGCCACTTACAGCTCGAAGCGGACACGATTCACAAGTTTCGGCGTCGCTTCTTTGGCCCATGCCTCATTCTCCAGGCCGTCGGTTCTGATACGGCTTCTAGCCCGGTCAGCTTCTGTGTGAAGATGCCCAACTACCTACGCCAGACTCGTGTACACGATGTCTACCACGTCTCGTTACTGTGTGCTTACCGCAAACCGTCTGAGTGTTTCGCTGGACGACCATACGAGCGCCCTCCACCCATCATGGTGCACGGCCACGAGGAGTTCCTCGTTTCAGATATCATTGGTCGACGAGTCACCGACGACAACCCTCCCCACGTCGAGTATCTCGTACGTTGGAAGGGTTTGCCTGATGAGGAGGCTACCTGGGAGCCCCTCGAGCACTTGCAGCATGCTCTCATATTGGTGGGTGCCTATGACCGTGCTCGTCGTGCTGCTCCTCCTCAACCCACTGACCCTCCTCCTTCTCCCCCGGCTGAGGAGACCGTCGAAGTCGAGCCTGCTCCATCTGAGGCAGATCTTCAGCAGCAGTCGGATGTTTCTTAGCGTCCACAGCTCACTCGTCGTCGTCCTGCTCGACTCTGACTTACCTTCCCACGTCTTTGACTTCTCAGTACTCCATCCACTCCAGTTTTGCGACTTCAGCTAGTCGACGTTGCGGCTCTTCCTCGACGACATTCCGGACTTCTCATCATGGACGTCATCGGCAGCTTCATGGACTTCGTCACGATCAACTCTGCCTACTTCAGACGTCGTCACTCTCTTACCACTTTACCTTATACAGTACCCTGCTTGTGTCGCATGATGGTCTCCCTTTAGCCGGGTTCCTCTAAGTTGGGCCTCGTCTTGGTATACGCATAGGCATCGGGACCGTAGCGTTGCCCTGGCTTCCCAGCTTACGCATCTAGCTCCGACTTCCCTCACTTTAGGAGTCCTTTGCATGAATCCCTTACCCATCACCTTTCTACCCTCTGACGGCCCTCACACCCTGTTAGGCAGCCTTGCATGCTTTATCTAGGTGCGCCCAGTATACCAGGCTCCCTTGTTCCCTTGCATGGTTGACCCTCCATAGCGGTCACCCCTTAGTCGAGCATTACCCGCCCTCATGGTCTATCTGTTAGGGTCATCGATTTTGTTCGCTCCCAGTTCCCTACGCTCATTGAGCGTGATGACATGTGTTTCCCCTGTCACTATGTGTGGATACCCTTAGGAGTTTTCGACCCCTAGGCTGCATTCGCCACCCTCAGAGACCATCCCACCCTTTGGTTTGCGACACATTTCTTCTGTGACATATGGTTGACTTGTTGTTGCTTGTTGCTCTCAAACTGAGGTAACTGCCTCTGACATTTCTAGGATTTAGTTGTTTTGCTTTTGCTGTTCTTAGGACTTATACACTAGTCAGTTGTTCCTAGACTGAGGCTACTGCCTCCAACATTCTAGGATCTAGTTGTCATTACTTTCTGCTTTCGTAGGACATGTATGCTAGTTAGTTGCTTCTGCTTTCCTAGGGTATGTATGCTAGTTAGTTGCTTCTGCTTTTACTTAGGCTGTTAGTTGTGACATTGTTGTTTTTGTGATATTTTCTATCCTAGGTTGCATCGCATGGACTCAGCATGGAGCTTGCTCTGCATCCTAGACTACTAAGCTTTTATTTTTCTTTGGTAGAGTTCCGGTTCTTGGCGGAAGCGTGCTTGTATCTAGGCGATCCATCATAGGCCGAGGATCGTGTAGCGGACCTCTGGGTGGCCTGTGAGACCAGCCCCTTGGCTTGTTCTCACAGACCTGTGTTCTATTTGGGGCAGTACAATCCAGGCTGGTACCTCTGTCGGTACCAGCCAGTCCCGTCAGTCCGCTGGGGTATACCCTAGCAATTGTCTGTTTTCTCTATCATTCTACACTAGTCTCGCACGGTTTTGGAGTACGTGTGTCGGAGTCTTGCGTGGGAGTTGCGCTGTGCCATCTCGCTCTTCCCTCATCCTCCATATCTATCTGTATCCCAGGCGGAGCACCTTCCCGGTGGGTCCGCAAGTGGGACTTGGCCTCAGGTAGTGCCGCCACTACTATTTTTTTTGCCAAAAGGAGTCTTTCCATTACAAGCTGGGAACCGGGCCCAGCGTCCCTCTAATGAATAGCTATGGCCCGCAGGGATAAACCTGGCTCACCGGCCAGGCATAACTCCAACCATAGCAAAAATCTCACCGCCGTCATAATCCTGCAATGAATAGCTCCAACCCTACCGCACATCCACCAGCACAACCCAAACCTAAGTATCAATGCCAACCCTTTTTTTTTTTTCCCCTAGTACCCGTCCGCCGGGCGCTCCAGTCTATTGGTAGGGAGCTTCACCTGCTGGAAAACGGGTCCAGCGTCCCATGTGAACATCTGCAAAGATCAGAACTGCCGGAAAACGGGTCCAGCGTCCCATCATACATCAAGTAATTGGTGTCCAACGTCGACCAGCCAGCATTGATTACCCTGATCCTCCGAGGATTAAATGAGCAGGCATGTAGGGGGTTCGGAAAAAAGGAGATGTGGGGGGGGGGGGGGGGGGGGGGGGGGGGGGAAGGGGAAAGGGAAGTCCTCCAAGGGGGGCACCCGGATGAGCTCCCCTCCTCCCCCTCCAACCATTCCCACCAACCTTCTTCCTTACAATATTTCTTCTAATGTCATTGCGTGAGGGGCGAACAGGTCCGGGGATTCTGTAGCCGGTCGCAGCGGGATAGTTGGGTCCACCTTCGTCCATTCCCGAAACTGCAGGCGATAGTCCCTTACTAAAGGGGACTCTGGGTCCTCCCTTTGCACTTGTTGCTGTATCAATGTGAACCTAATTATTTTAAACAAAAAGAGAACCCTAATTAAACTCTCAATTCTGGACCGATGCACTCATCCCAAGCCAATCACCAACTCACCACTGCCAGCCTCACGGTCACATTACGGCCTGCGAGCCCACGCCTACGCGGTATGTCAGTTCCTATAGCCTGTCATCGACCCGAAGCAAATTGTGGGCCTCACTACACTACTCTACACTGTACAGTTTGTAGAGTTGGGCCATCTCTCCTCTAACTACACGTTTTTACTTGAGAAATTGCTCTGCATCGCTGTCAGAAAACATACATGAGGAGGACTTTTACACAATTGTATAGTCCCCAGCCTGCAACAACCGTTCCTTATAGAGTCCTCATAGGGATCTGATGAGCACCCAAATTGAGTCCTTGTACGGCTATGATGAGCGCCTAAATTTGGAGAGTCGACCTGGAGCATGGGCAGACAAATGGGATT